GAGTGCACCAAGAGTGTCCACCCCAGGTAACTGGGGAGGCTGAGCTACTGGGCCCTACAGGACACCTGGCGCACAGGGCCACTCTATCAACACAGGGAAGCTGCCAAAATGCGGAGGCAAAGAAACAGGTCACAAATGGCAGAAATGGAGGAAAGCAAACGATTGGATATAGAGTTCAAGGCCACGTTTATAAGGTTTTTCAAGAATTTTATGGAAACCGCCGATAAATTTAATGAATCCCTCAATAAGTATAGTGAGACCATGGAGGACATGAAAAAGGACCAACTAGAAATTAAGCATACACTGACTGAAATAAAGAATAATTTACAGAGATCCAGCAGCAGACAAGAGGATCCCAAGAATCAAGTCAAAGATTTGAAATACAAAGAAACAAAAAATACCCAACCGAAAAAGAAAAAAGAAAAGAGATTCCAAAAATATGAAGATAGTGTAAGGAACCTCTGGGACAACTTCAAGCGTACCAACATCAGAATTATAGGGGTACCAGAAGGAGAGAGAGGGCAAGATATTGAAAACCTTTTTGAAGAAATAATGACAGAAAACTTCCCCTACCTGATGAAAGAAATGGACTTACAAGTCCAGGAAGCGCAGAGAACCCCAAACAAAAGGAATCCAAGGAGGACCACACCAAGACACATCATAATTAAAATGCCAAGAGCAAAAGATAAAGAGAGAATCTTAAAAGCAGCAAGAGAAAGACAGTCAGTTACCTACAAGGGAGTACCCATACGACTGTCAGCTGATTTCTCAACAGAAACCATGCAGGCCAGAAGAGACTGGCAAGAAATATTCAAAGTGATGAATAGCAAGAACCTACAACCAAGATTACTTTATCCAGCAAAGCTATCATTCAGAATAGAAGGTCAGATAAAGAGCTTCACGGATAAGAAAAAGCTAAAGGAGTTCATCACCACCAAACCAGCATTATATGAAATGCTGAAAGGTATTCTTTAAGAAGAGGAAGAAGAAAAAGGAACTCTTACCATTTGCCACAGCATGGATGGAACTAGAGAGCGGATAAATACCACATGATCTCACTCATTTGTGGAATATAATGAACAACATAAGCTGATGAACAAGGACTGATCCAGAGACGGAGAGGCATTGATTGGACTGTCGGGACTTGGAGGGAAGGTAGGGGAGGGTGGGGGTAAGGGGGAAAGATCAACCAAAGGACTTATATGCAAGCATATAGGCCTAATCAATGGACATGGACAACGGGGGGGTGAGGGCATGAGCGGGAGTGGGGGGGTGGGGGGTAGAGGGTAATGTGGGGACAAGGACACATATGTAATATCTTAATCAATAAAAAATATATTAAAAAAAATAAAGAGGTATATATGCTATTTTTTTCAAAGCAAGTATCTTTTTCAAGATAATGTAGAGAGAAAGTGTGCTTAAAATGATGAAAATAAATTGAATGTAGTGATTATTTAGTAACATGTAATTTGTAACATAAACAGATGCTGGAATCCTATAAACTAGAGTTCAATTTCCTGAATGATCACCTGAGGTTAAGGTTTAAAGCTTCAATGTCCTCACTTGTAAAATAGTGAGGTTATTATTACTGATCTCAGAGGGTTATTTTAAGATTAAACATAGTAATACATTTAAAATGCTCAGCATCTTGCCTTTTAATTGGAAGGCTCCTTATAAACATTCCCAATCGTTTTTGTGCTGGTAGGAGATGAGACAGGTAATCCAGTAAACAGTTATCTGGACTGAGAAAAAGCAGCTTCATTCTAAGTTCCACAGCTGTTATGTAACTTTCATTTTTTTCTCAATTTTTAAGTCATCAAGATGAGACAACCATTAATTTAATTTAATTTAATTTATTTTTATTGATTTATTTTATGGAAGAGGGAGAGAGAGGTAGAAACATCCACGATGAGAGAGAATCATGGATCAGCTGCCTCCTACAAGTCCCCCACTGGGGATTGAGCCCACAACCTGGGCATGTGCCCTTGACCGGAATCAAACCCGGGACCCTTCAGTCTGCAGGCTGACGCTCTAGCCACTGAGCCAAACCGGCTAGGGCTATCTTTTTTTTCAGGTTGAGTTAATTCTTAAAACTTCTTTGGAAAGGCATCATCTACATTAATTTTATCAAGTACAAATATTTTATTATTTTGAAGACAGACAAGGCAGCATTGAAGTAGGTACTTATGAATGTCAAAAGAAAACAATAATGATCCTGGATGATTATTGGGTGCTTGTGCGATGGTAGGACATGTTAGGGTGACTAGAAAATCCACAGGGATGCTTTTGATCATGGCGTTAGGGGAAGCTTCCTTGAACAGTCAAGAATTTCTTTTGGGCTACATGATTCTACAATGACTAAATTCTTATTTAGAAACACACTTACTAATAGCTATATTTTAAGTTTCAACTTTAAGTTTTAAAACATATTTTAAGGTCCTGAACAAAAGCAACATTGTTAAGTATGTCTGAAAGGTCAAAGGTAGATGGTCTATGTAAATTCAGTTAGAGGTCATATAGACAGACATCTCCTTCCAGTGGGAAAATTGTTAAGTTGACAGTCTTTTTGGTGTTGTTGTTTTTTGTTAATCCTCACTCAAGGATATTTTTCCTTTTATTTTAGAGAGAGTGGAAGGGAGGAGGGGAGAGACAGAGACAGAATAACACTGATGTGAGAGAGACACATCGATTGGTTGCAACCAAGGTATGTGCCCTTGATTGGAATCAAACCGGGGACCCTTTAGTCTGCAGGCCGATGCTCTATCCACTGAACCAAATCAGCTAGGGCAAATTGAGTCTTTGACAGTCTTTGAAAGTCTTCTCTGGAAACTCCTTATGGTAACAGGAATAAAAATGTGGGTTTTGGTCAATTTCTCAACAGATAAATTTTCCTGAAATATCTCAGGGTTTTGTCATAATTTACAGCCTCTTTTTTTGTTGTTGTTGTTAATTTTCACCTGAGGATATTTTTTCTATTGATTTTCAGAGAGAGAGTGGAAAGGGCGGTGGATGGGGGTGGGGGTGGGGGGGTGGGTAGCGGGGGGGGGGGGGAGGGAGAAACATCAATGTGAGAGAAACATTGATTGGTTGCCTCCCGAACTTGCAACCCAGGTATGTGCCCTTGGTCTGGGACCCTTCAGTATGCAGGCTAATGTTCTAGCCATTTAGCCCTAACCATTGAGCATGCTGTCCAGCAAACTTACAGCCTTTAAATATATATATATATATATATATATATATATATATATATATTGATTTCAGAAAGGAAGGAAGAGGGAGATAGAGATAGAGATCAAAACATCAATGATAAGAATCATTGGTTGGCTGCCTCCTGCATGACCCCTACTGGGGATAGAGCCCACACTCCAGGCTTGTGCTCTGACTGGGAATTGAACCATGACCTCCTGGTTTACAGGTCAGTGCTCAACCACTGAGCCATGCCTATCGGTCTACAGCCTCTTTTAATGAAGAAAGTTGTCTTAACTATTCCCTTGTAAAAAGGCATAGAGTAAGAGAATTGAAATGTCAATAACAAATTAGAAAGTAGATTTATAAACTATTAAGATTGCAGAAATCTTGCAACACTAAAATATTCTGACTTTTGAAAAATGACTATCAACTTTTCTAAATATCTAAAATATTTTCTTGAATGTAAGCTCACCCACTCCTGACATTTGTAGGACTCAAGGCAAGAGTAAAGTGGAGGCCCATGGCCCCTTTTCTTCCTGCCTCTGTCTCTGTCCTGCACCATGTAGAGCCTGTTTACAAGCACAAGGACATGCAGCCATATATCCAAGGTCCCTCCTCACTTGCTGCACACAGATGACCTTGGCCACCCTTGTGACTTGACTCATCTTCTGGAGCATGGTCAGCATTGTCATCACCTGCAAGCTTGTGAGAAAGGCAGAACTCAAGTCCCATTCAGACCTACTGAATAATAGTCTCTGGGCAATTTATATGCAAATTAGAGTTTCATAAAATCTCTAGGCAATTCATATGCACATTAGAGTTTGAGAACCTCTGCCCTAAAGTGAGCGGTTGCAGACAGAGGCCTCCTCATATCTCTTGACCGCTGAAGATATTGAGAAGACACTGGCCAATAAACAGTTCTGTTCAACTTCTTGTGCATTTCAAATGATAGCTGATTTATATATATATAATATTTTCTTTATGCTGTTTTCTTATTTGGAGCCCCTCCCACCCCACCTACCCTACTCTGTCAATGTCCAATTGCACAAGATGGCCATATCTTCTGGGAAGACCTCCTCAGTCTTCCCATTGTGACTCCATTGTTCTTATTAAAAACCTCTGGTAGACCATTTATTGAATTCTGGTTATTCAACTGAATCTCCCACTAGAGCCAGGGGTGGGCAAACTTTTTGACTCGAGGGACACAATGGGTTCTTAAACTGGACCGGAGGGCCGGAACAAAAGCATGGATAGAGTGTCTGTGTGAACTAATACATGTTAACACTGCTGCTGGTGAAGGAGCGGAGGGGAGAGCAAGAGAACCCTCTGCTCTTTCGGCTCCGCGGGCCGGATAGAACAGCCCAACGGGCTGGATCCGGCCCGCGGGCCGTAGTTTGCCCACGGCTGCTACTAGACTGTTGGTAGAAACTGATTTCCTGAGGTAGAAACTGATCCCTGTTCACCTTTTGATCTTCCATTACGTGTAGCTTCAGCCCATTGCATTTATAATGAACATGTCTGAAATTAAATCTGCATCTTTTAAGTTTATTTTTATTTTTTATCCTCTCCTGAGGATATGTTTATGGATTTTAGAGAGAGAGGAAAGAGGAGAAAGAGAAGCATCAATCAGTTGCCTCCTGTACGTGCCCTGATGGGGAATGGAACCTGCAACCTTTTGTTGTATGGGGCAATGCTCCAACCAACTGAGCCATCTGTCCAGGGCTTAAGTTTATTTTAGTGGCTCCTGCAATTCTCTGCTTGTGCTGAGAAAGTAAATTAAAGTAAGTCTGCTATTTTAATGAAGGTAGATTTTACTCCTGTCTTATCACATTTGGGAAAGTGTACACCTTTTGTATTCTCATGTAAAAATTACTATGGCTTTTTCTGTAACTGTTGTATATCTATAAGACAGAGAATAAAATTTTATCTCACAGAGAGCACTTCTATTAGAGCCAAAAATTGATGGAGGGGTATCACAATTGTAGAAAACACAATTTTATTTTTGTGATTTTCTACAAATATGTGTAATTTCCTTGGCATATACCATACTGTACACACATATAAATAATTTGGCCTCAAAAATGACCAGTTATCATCAATTTTGTATGTAGCTTGGTAGGCCCTAACCTACAGTGAAATACCTAGAACTACCATTTAAATTATCTACTCTTTTGCTAACAATTGTTATTATTGGCAATGAGCAAACATGGTGTTAAGTTTTTAAAATACTTCTATATATTTTTTAAATGTTTGGGTTTGACAAGAAATCTTTAGAAAAAAACTTTTAATTATTTTCCTCTCCATGTATAGTTCAATGAAAACACCCCCCCTCCATATGTACTAGAATGGAATTTGTTTCTTGTTAATTTGCATTTAGCCTATAAAAAATATCCTTTAAAAATTTTTAAGGCATTGGGCTTTTGGCACATATTATGTTTCTAATTAGGAACAGGGATGGGAGGATGGGGGAAAATAAAATTAGATAAACACACACATGTGTGGATATGTAGTTATGCATATATAAACATATGCATGTATTTATTACATATGCATAAAATGCATTATACATATAAGAATTAGATTCAGGTACAAAAGATCTGCCAAATTCTGGGATTAGAAGTCATGTGAATGATTTTTTTTTCATTTCCAAACCTTTCTAAATAAGTTGTGGTAAAATAAGTGCCATAGTAGATGTTTCAGGCTATTTAATAAGCAAACATTTTCTCTCTCCACATGTACACACATATCACCCTAAAACAAACTCATTCTCACATACGGAACGAATTCAATCCATGCAAACGACACAAAAAGATGACTGGGAGGAGAAAGGAAATAGAGACTAACCATGAAGAGCTCTCTCTTTTTACCTTCATTCCTCTCGTCCGGATTAGTGTAGATGGAAGCCGCAGTAAATAATGAAAAGATAACAAAGGCCAATAAAATGAATGCCATTTCCAGGTTGGTGAATGGAAGCTCCATGGACCACCACATACTTCTTCACCTTCAATAGAAACCAAACACGGTTTAGCACACTCTAGCCAGAGAGAGCTTGTTCAGCAATTATTTATTTTAGAATCAAACACATATAAAATTTACTAAAACGTGTTAAAATACTTCTGTGCACCTGGAACAAATCACCCGGGACTGGTAAAAATGGGTTGTGCTCTCATTTCTTGAAATTTGGCACAACTATTGGTATAACTGAACTTTCACTTTTACTGTGTAGATTGGAAGAGAGCATGGAATTCTTCATGTTTACACGCATCTGTGAGTTTTTTTTGGACACAACACTGGGAGTAAAGATAGGGTATATTTCATTTTATGAAGGAAGAAGTAGTAATGTTGATATCTGACATGTCTATACTCACGTTCAGAATAAAATCTCTTTGGTTCATATGCCTGATGTTACCTGGCATCTGCTAGTCAAGTGAGATGTGTGCAATTGAAGCATTTTTTTTTTTTTTAGTGTAAAAACCATAGGCCTCAAAGCAGCTGTATTAAACCTAACCCAAATAAAAATAAATGTGTTCATAATTTAACCATGGAAACTTCCAGTTTCAGACCGAGAAAGTGGAGCTCATGTATTTTGGAAAGAAAACAGTAGCTCCATTGGAGGAAATTATAGCGTCATCCAGTTGGAAGTCAGCCCTCTTTCTGTCTTTCAGTGTTTACTACACAGATGCCAAATATCTAAGCCGCTGCAGACACCTGTGGGGATGCTATAATTTTAAGAATTCCTAGAGAAAGAGATTTCACATCCTTTCATTGCAACTCATCTTCTTATTTTAGGGAAGTCATTTATTGGGGTCTTTCACGTAAGGGTTCAGGTTTAGAAATAGTGAGCATATAGTACAAAAAATTCCGTATACCATCTCTCCATCCCCCCCATTTCACCTGTTATTAACAGCTTGCATTAGTGTGGTACATTAGTTACAATTAATGAACCAATATTGATACATTATTATTATTAACTGAAATCTATAATTTACATTAAGGTTCACTCTGTGTTATATAGTTCTATGGGTTTTGACAAATGCATGTCGACCACCATTACAGTATCATACAGAATAGTTTATCTTGTGCTTCCTGTATTATTCATTCCTCTCCTCTCTCTTCCTCAGCCCCTGGAAATCTCTTTACTGTCTCTAGTTTTGCCTTTTCCAATTGTCATATAGTTGAAATCACACAGAATGTAGACTTTTCAGATTGTTTTCTTTCACTTAACAATAAGCATTTAAGGCACTCCATTTCTTTTTATGGCTTCATAACTCATTTCCTTTATTTTTATTTATTTATTTATTTATTTTACCACAGAATAACATTCCATCATATGGATGTACTACAGTTTGTTTATCCATTCACCCATTGAAAGACAGCTTGGTTGCTACCAGCATTTGGTGATTATGAATAAAGCTGCTATAAACATTCTAGTGCAGGTTTTGTGTGCACATGATTTTTAAAAAATATATATTTTTATTGATTCTAGGGAGGAAGAGAGGGAGAGTAGAGATAGGAACATAAATAATGACAGAGAACCATTGATTGGCTGCCTCCTGCACACCCCATACTGGGGATTGAACCATGACCTCCTGGTTCATAGGTCAGCGCTCAACCACTGAGCCACACTGGCCAGGCTGTGTGCACATGATTTTTCAATCTAGGATCATGTTTGATGGATCATATGGTAATACTGTGTTTGGCTTTATAGGAAACTGCCAACCCGTCTTTCAAAGTAGTTGTACTATTTTGCATTTCTACTAGCAATGAATGAGCATTCCTATTGCTCTGCATCATTGCATCAACTTGGTACTGTCAATTTTTGGATTTTAGTCATTCTAATAGGTGTGTAGTATGTTTCCATTTGCAATTCCTTAATAATATATGATGTTGAACATCTTTTCATATACTTATTTGACACTACATATCTTCTTTGTCTTTGATGCAGATCTTTTGCCCATTTTAAAATTAGGTTGTTTGTTTTCTTATTGCTGAATTTTAAGAGTTCTTTGTATATTTTGGATTCAAGTGCCGCGCCATAAAATGTTTCCCAAACAGTTCTTAACAGTGTCTTTTGCAGAGTAGTTTTTAATTCTAATAAAGCCCAACTCTTTTTTGGATCATGCTTAATTGTATTAAAAAAACCTCATTGCTAAACCCAAGATCATGTAGGTTTTCTTCTGTTGTCTTTTAAGTTTTAGAGTTTTGCATTTTATAGATCTACAATTCATTTTGAGTTAATTTTTGTCAAAGGTATAAGTCTGTTTAGTTTCTCCTCTTCTCTCCCTTCTCTTCCTCCCTTCCCCCCTCCTCCTCTTCTTTTCTCTTGCTCCTCCTCCCCCTTCTTCTTCAAATATGGATATCCAGTTGCTCAAGTACCATTTGTTGAAAAGATTATCCTTTCTCTATTGTAACCTCTTTGCTCCCTTGCTAAAGATTAATGACTATCTCGGTGTGTCTATCTCTGGGCTCTCTATTCTGATATTTCTAGAAACTTATTTGTGGAGACTGTTTTATGACAATTTAAGCACTGTCCTGTTGTTCTCAAATCTGCTTATATATTAATTATTTTAAGATAGGAGACGAGCTATCTCAACAAACTGAAGACAGCTCTTACTCTTGTGTTATCAGTCTTCACCCGGAGAGCCTCTGTGCATGTCCTCTGCCATGATGGGTAAAACCAGCCCTCAGCTCCTCCCACCCTCCCACTCCCACCCCCGTTCTCTCCCCCCCCCCCCCCGCCCCCGCCCCCAGTTCAATACTGAGCCAAATAGTGATGCTAGTTTAGGAAGGAAAGAAGGCTTCAGGGGGAAATATGAACCTTCAGTTTGGCACTAAAGAAACCCCAGATTTTGTTAGACAAGAGAGGCAAAGTAAATCTAAAGAGAAAAGATGAATTGAGTCAACACATGCTCTTTGAGTGTGGCATTATGCTAAATTGTTTGTGGTGAAGTGAGGTGATGGGAGGAGAGGGAAGCAGGAGCAGGACAGAGGTGACATGTAATGAGCACTTAAAACGGACCAGGCACTATTTCAGGAGCTGCACAGCTTCATCTCCTTGAATCCTCCTAATCACTCTGTATGGAAGATACTATTATTATTTTTTTTAATATATTTTATTGATTTTTTACAGAGAGGAAGGGAGAGAGAGATAGAGAATTAGAAACATCAATGAGAGAGAAATATCGATCAGCTGCCTCCTGCACATCTCCTACTGGGGATGTGCCTGCAACCCAGGTACATGCCCTTGACCTTCCGGGTCAAGGGACCTTTCGGTCTGCAGGCCGACGCTCTAGCCACTGAGCCAAACCGGTTTCGGCGGAAGATACTGTTATTATCTCCATTTCAGAAATGAGGGCACTGAGCACAGAAATATAAAGTAACTTATCTTAAACTATAAGATAGTATATGGCAGAGATAGAATATCACCCCGGGCAGCCTGGTTCCAGAATCCTCTCCCTTAATCCATATACTCTACTTGCATTCATCCAAACAACTAAGCAAGCAAACCAAAAACTCACCTTCATAGTTAGAATCCGGTTTGGCAAAGCATTTTGTGGATTAACTGGAAAGGAGTTTTTATGGTAGGTACCGTGATAAGATAATATCAGCTAAGCAAACACAATTGACAGATTTCAGTGCCAAGGTGAGAGCTTAGACTTTTTTCAAATGGTATTCAAAGGTGACTGTAAGGTCTTTGATAGAACAATGACATGATGGAGCAGTATTCTGAGAATATTAATTGCATTTCTATGTAATTAAAAAAAGAATGATAATCAGAAAAAAACTCAAAATAAGATTTTCAGCTCTGTATTAGGTTCCACAATAGTAATAGAGTGGGAAGGATGAAGCTAAGAGCCACCTTGAAGGAAGGGCAGGAGGATCTTGGGAGTTTGCTGGTTATATGGGGTTCAGAGGTCAACCCAACACTAGTAAAAATGTAGTACAAGGAGGAAGAAGGGAGATGAAGGTCACTAGAAAAATCCACAGAATCTTGTGTGAATTGGCAGTAGAGAATATTAATTCCTCAAACTTTCTCATGGTTAGTAGGGATGCATACACTCATACATTCTGCACTCCTCCAATATTTGCAATTCGATTGCTCATGCTTTTGCTTTTCCAGAGAATATGAAGACTACTAAGTCAGTTAAAACAGCTCAGAGAACAACAACAAAAATAATTCTCATTGTTAATATTCTTTTTTCTCATGAAAAAAGTATAGCAAAGCAAAATAAAAACAGAAAAGAAATGGTGCCATCTAGTGGTGACTTAGTGCTATGGGTGGGAGAAAGAAATTATTTACTCAAGCTTTTTAATGATGTTTCATTATATGTATATTAGAGGCCCGGTGCATGAAATTCATGCACGGTGCGGTCTCTAGACCTGGTTGGTGACTGAAGCACGAGTGTCTGATGTGGAAGGGCAGGTCCCAGCTGACCTCTGGGCCCTGGGCAGCACCTGGGCCCCTGGGGCCCCCATGTGCCTCCCTCCGCCTGAGTCACGGTGTCCGAGTCCCCACATGGAGATATGGTGAACGTGGCCAGAGTGGTGCAGCGTGGGCCTCTGGGATGCCCAGCAGCACTGCACGGAAGCCAGGTGGGCAGCACACTCTCTCCTGACCAGCCTTGCAGACTGGCTCCTGTGCCAACCCATGGGGAGCCTGACCACCCCTGTGGTCCTGGCTGCTGCAGCCTGGCTAACCCAGCAGAGGCCATGGGGGTGCAGGGCGGGCTCCTCATGGGTGCCCAGCACCTGAGTGTGGGGGGCTTCCCTGGAATGCGAGCCCTGGCATCCCTGGGGAGGGTAGCAGAGGGAGTGAGAGCAAGCTTGGCGGACACCCTGCATTTTCACCACACCTCCATCCCTGTCACTCTCACCCCCAGGTAGCCGGCAAGAGGTCGCAGCATGTTGCCGACACCTGCCATGTTCCGTGCCGCCCCCTGGTGGTCAGTGCACATCTTAGCGAGTGGTCAAACTCCTGGTCTCCTGGTCAAACGACCATCT